GTCTTGTGATTATTTGACAGGAGTTTTACTTTTAAACCGTAAGTGTATTTAATTTAGTTATGTTAGTTATGATAGCTTAGTTATGATGTAAATACAATAAAAATTAAACCAAGATTTATAATAATTATCATTTTGATCCATACATTGGTAATGTCTGACTGGACCTCGTGACACTTTACTGTATGTTCAATAAATTGGGCCCCGAGGTCAGAAAGGTTAAGAGCCTCTGGTTTAACACAATCATAATGATTGTGGGCATATACTGCATCATATTGAATGCAGACTTGTGAAATGAATTGAATGGAAATTGTATCATGACAGACTTTGTATCATCAGTCAAACAAATTAATATGGTATTGTGATAAAGTTGTGGATTTACACCCTTTATTATCCATGGGTTTACAGCAGCCACACTGCAGTGTGACCTCTGTTTGTGCTGTAACATACCAACATGTCTGCAGCACTGACACATTTTAATTTTAAAATTAGACTGATTTCATCATCATCATCATCACTTTATTCATATCGCACTTTTAAAACAACAGTGTTGACCAAAGTGCTTCACAAACACAATACAATAAAACTAATAATAAACTGTAAACATAATATAAAGACAAATAACAAATTCCCGATGTAGCTCAAACTGAAGAGTTAAAAGCCAGTGTAAAAAAGTGAGTTTTTAAGTCAGATTTAAAAGACTGAACAGACACTGCAGTACTGGTCTCAAGTTGTTCCAGAGTCTGAGGACCACCACAGTAAAAGCCTGTTCCTCTCTACACTTTAGTTTTACCTTTGGCTGCACTAAAAGCATCTGATTAGAAGATCTCAGTTCTCTGTTTGGGGTATAAAAGTGCAACAGGGCCAATAAATAACTGGGTGCCAGACCATTTAAAACTTCAAACGTAAGTAAAAGAATCTTAAAATCAATATGAAAGTGAACAGGCAGCCAGTGCAGGTCAGATAAAACAGGACTGATGTGAACCTGTTAAAAGACTCGCAGCAGCGTTCTGGACTAACTGCAAGTGATGGACAGATGACTGTTCCAAACCAACATATAAAGAGTTACAATAGTCCAGTCTAGATGTAATTAAATAGATTTAACAGTGAGCAACACCAGCAGGCTGCTAAACCATAAGCTAATGCTAAAAGCTAAGCTTTTTTCAGTCTCTCAGTCAGTGTGCTGTCTCAGTCTTTTAATGAGGCGAGTGATAGATTCTGTTCATTATTTTGTTCATAGTTTTTATGTTTTAAAAGTGAAGAAGGACAGAACAGATGACTGAACTAATTACTCTGTATGACCAAGCCTTGGTTGTGCAGGAGAAAAAAGGTTTATGTTGTGGTCGTTCGTAGCCTCCCAACACAGCGTAGCCAACAGGCCTTAATTCTTCAGATGTGTGTGTGTTCCTGGAATGTTTTCCTCTTGTTAGTAGGAAAACAAACTATTTTAGGAACAAAATAAAGTTTTCTTAACTGCAGAGTAGAGCTATGAGGTGTGAAGCACAAGATGAAATTAATTTAAACAGATTTAACTTATGGTTCTGCAATCTGCAGGCCTGTGCTACAAAAACATGAACTAATGAAAGCTTTGGATTCAGATTCAGTGTCTGCAGATCCTTATTTTTCAACGACTCAGATCAATATCAGGACAAATTCATCTGCACAGGGACGTCTGTAGTTTTATCCTGCAGGCAGAGTGAGTGAACGCTGAGAAGTTGTTTTTTGTGTCTCACCTGGCATTTGGACAAATGAAGGTGGAGTGGTTGACCCTCCCTGTGAAGAAGACATGAAACGTTAGAAAACATTTAAACAACATGGTTGTATTTTAACTTTATGTAAGCATGGAATGTGACTTCAGTATTATAAAAACACTGTGGAAATGTCTGCTCTTCTCCCTTTGGTTTTGTTATTTTTGTCAAAGGTAACAATGTCCACTTGTTATGAACTGTAGCCCAAACAAAAATTCAGTTCAATTTATTTAAATATCACCAAATCACACACAAAAACTAAAATAAAACACCGCAGGGCACTGTGCAGAAAAGTTGCACACATTATAAAATGCCAGTTAGTAAAAGTTATCAGTCTAAGGAAGCCAGCAGATGACATCAGATCGTCACTTAGTCACAGTCTACATCCTGAGCAGCTTATTGTGACAGTGGAGTGGAGCACCTCCCTACAGGAAGAAACCTCCAGCAGAACCAGAACCAGGCTCAGGACAAACAGACACAACCAGCTGGAATAAAGGGAGAACAGTAAACTGGCTCAGAGAAACACAGAATGACTGGTCTACATGTAAGATGGACACTGATAGAGATGATAACAAACATGAAGAGGTGGAGAGTAAGGAAATGAAGTGTACTTCACTTTAAGCAGTCTAAACCAGGCATGGTCAGTCCTGGTCCTGCAGGTTTGACTTGTTTCTCTGCTCCAACACACCTGATATGAAGGAATAGATGATTATCAGGCTTCTGCAGTACGGAGCACCAACACTGACATAATTAGAAATAAAAGCAGAATTATATGAACCACTAAATAAATACACTTAAAATGCAC